AGGAGAAGGGCACTAAATATCTGAAGAAAACTGTAACCTGTTTCAAGTTAACTGATTCTTTATTATCTGATCATTCAGTTGAATAGAATTCACAATTTTGGCTCTTCTTCATTTGCCTTGGGCATGTGAAGTGCTAACCTATTCAATGAATGCAATTTATTTTATTAGTTAGTTAGTTTGTTATTGGCTGCTACAAGTCAAGAAGGGAAAAGACAAGACTGGCCTGCATAATCAGATGTTTGAATTCAGTATTCTGAAAAATCCTCTTACTTCTGTGCTGCACAGCACCACAAACTCATAAAACACTAAAAAATCCAGTATAGTGCGCAACAGCTGTACTGCATAATTACTTGGCCCTATAGCAGTAGTTTTAAAATACTGGTATATCTGTTGCAGGCCACCATACATTATCATCTCATTTTCAATAAAATGTCTGGGATGTTTCAGATGAGCTTCAATGGAATTACAATCATGTGTGCTTTGAAATATTTATGCTTGCCTTGAGATGGAAGGATAATTCCTGCCTCCAACTCCCACACACAAATAACAGATTTAATAACGCCAGATAGTCCCAACTCCTCCATACCTACAGCAGGTAGAAATGAAGTTCTGATCTGGAATACACATATTCTCATAGGTTGTAGAACTTATATTTTATGTCATTTAGTGAGGTCACTAATAAAATATAAATGTCACAGGCTGAAAGACGCCAAGAGAAATACGGTTTGGCAGCATGGAGCTGCTTAGGGATACATAAATAATAAGTCAATAAGTGAATAAATAATAGACAAAGACCTGTTTTATCTTCCATTTGAAGATCTCAAAGAATTTACAGTCGCTGGTTGAGACTTGTAATATCCCATCAGAAGCACATAAGTAGTAATAGCCCCTTGCATCACTCTAGGCATGGTTTTCAGAAGAAATGACTTAATAATTTTTATTAAGCATTTCTGAAAATGATGACTGTAGGGGCTTGTCCATGGAACGGTCACTTGCCCCTTTCAGAGGCAAACAAGGAGAATAGCAACCTGCTCCACTACCTCACGTCCTTTAACTGATTAAAAATGCTTGTGAGGATCCATATATTTGGCAACACGGTTGCGTTCTGCACTCAGAGCTTGTTTGAAAGGCCATTTTTGCGTACACCTTAGTTGGTGCCCACAACACAGCTATCAGAGTAACGGTCTGTATTTGGGCCAGCCGTTTGTAGACTTTAGCATTTCATTCGCTCTCTGTAGTGTAAGGCAGGCACACTTGTAATGTTGATCAGTTTAATAGTAGTAGATTCTTCCTCTGATCAAACAGCCTCTTCTTTTGCCACTTGAAAAATTTGGTATTTCCCAGTCAGAGACTGCACAAACAAACATTTTGCAGATCCTTATTCCATTCGTTACTTCTTGCACTAATCTATCTACTCTGAGAAAATAAACCCTACGTGTCAGTATAGGGCACAGACTGAGGACTGATGTCTATTTGGTCTTGTTTCCTTCCCCCAGTCTTTCCCGTGCTCAGCAGAAAGCCCTTCGAGGCTGTGCTGAGGAGTTGACCCAGACACCGAAGAGGAACCACTTTCTCCTTCTTGCGGCACTTCACCTTCCTGAAGGGTGGTTGATCGTTTCTGCATTCATTTTTCTTCTCTCTCTCTTTGGCAAGATCACTGACAAATGCTTTCCGCTTTGTTTTCTACCCTGACATGCTGAGGAGGTCAAGGCAACAGAGAAAGACCCAATACTTAGATGCCTATGAGTATTTCTAATAACCACAACACATCTTTCATATAGCAAATCAAATTGCTAAATGAAGAGCCGTATCTCGGAAAAGCTAAATACAGTGTGGTCTCAAGCCTAGCTTTGAATTTCCACATGTTCCCTCAGTACAATTTTTTATTCCTTCTTGTTTGATGGAAATAGCATTTTTATCTCCCTTTCACCCAGTGAAAGAAAAAAGGAATGAATTTGTTCCCAGATGTGTACAAAGGACAGTGCAGTTGCATAACGATTTCAAATAATATTAACAGTTCTGGTGCTATTTTTTTATAAATGTTTAAAAAAATCCCAATCTGTTTTTTACTTAATTAGATGTTTGCCACATAAATTTTCATTTCTCACTTTTATCTTCATCCTTCATCTTTCATTTGGCATACAAGAAAAGGGAGAACTATAAAAATAGATACAAAGGAAGAGAGGAAGAATATGGTTTATATCAAAAAAAGGACAGAAAACTTGTATGCTAATGAAAATTTTGTTGTAGTCATCGAAATGATTACCACCACCTTTTGTTGAATGAGTATTCGTGGCAAAATATTTTGAAAAGCTCTAAAAAGACTGTTGCTCCCAGGAGAAGGTGCTGATACATTTGTACCCGTGAAGTAGCTATGACGTAAGTGTCATTAAAGCAGTTACACCTCAGGGGTTGGTGCAGGTGAGATCAGAGGCTGGCACTTTGGGTGGAATTCACCTAACTGAAGGTACGTGTGTAGACTGGAGGTATCTACCTTGGAGCTAGTACCGGTGGGCTCCTTTCATACCCACTGGTGAGCCGGTCAGTGTGGTCAATGAAGTCTAGTCAAAGGCAGTGGTCTATTTTTGGATGAGGTGAACGGCTCGTTAGACACCATTAGTTCTGTTTAGTTCTCCATTGATTCTAAGATAACTAGCTCCACAGTAGACACCCACATTTACTAAGGTGAATCCTACATTATCTCCACCTTTAATAGCACACTTCAAAGTTACAGCCTCTCCCAGGAGTTTGGGGACAGGAAAATAGCCTTCATTTCTTCCTTTGAAGGTTTGGGTTCTTTATCTGAAGAGTTTTCAAATATAGTGTAATTTAAGATGCAAACTGAGAACAAAACTATTTGTCTTGAAAGTGAATAAGAAATAATTAACTAGGTTTGTAAAAAAAACAAGAGATAAGCCCAGATGTGCAGACAGGTTGAACGGGCTGGGCACACAGGTGTTTGCCTTGGCCGCGGAATAACTGTCAACATTTCCATAACAAGGAGTGCGGGATATGCTGCTGCTTGTTTCCTTTTCCCAAGTGCAGCATTGCGGAGCTGGAACGGCTGTGGGAAGATGCTTTTTTCCAGTTCAGCCCACACGCCACAGTATCTAGCTGTTGTAAGATAGGTATAGCCCATGCTTTCAGAAGAGTTTCTCTGGATATACAAGTACTTTGATCAGAGATGGCTGAATGCTGCATGCTGCCTTTTGGTTCCTCATCTCCGTACTTGCTTTCAGTGGTGTTTTCCTGTTTAGTACTGCACATTTAGTATGTGTTTCTGTCGTGAATATTTTAAACAGTATTTAGGGGAGGAGACTGGGAAGATGCGTGGGGTTAACAGGGGGAATTTTCATGGCAAGGATGAGAGCTTCATATTCATCCCATATCAGCACCCCAGGCACGAGTACAGCTCTTTTTGGTGATGGTGTCAAAGCAATCATTCCTATGCAGTCGTGGAGAAAGAAGTACATAGAAGTGCTGCCCAGCCAACCCTTAATGAATGTTTATAGGATAATGCAGTAGGTTTCCTTGCTGCTGTCTCTGAGTACATGTTTTATCCACATCTTCAGGCTCTGAGTTTGCTAATGGTTTAATAATGCTTAAGAAAAAAATTATTAATAAACTGTCATATTATTAAACTGGCAATGAACAAGACTAAGAAGCAGATTTTAGCTTTTATTCAACTGAGGGTTTTTCATAACATTCATCATGAAATGAGTGTTTGCTCGTTTGTATTTGATTTTTGTTAACTTTCATGCATCTCTCCAATTTTTCCAAAAGTGCCAAAGGCTTTTTTTCCCTCTTGTATATTTAACTTACTTCAAAGCCAACACATGAATTTCTGCAGGATATTTCCTCCCTTGCATAGCCTTTATCTAATCGGTTATGTGTGGTATACCAGTGCAGTATATGCACATGGACACCCTTGAAAGATTACTAGGCTAGCACGCCAAGGGAGCAACAGGGATGTAACGGTGACTGTTTGGTGAGAAATAAACTCCAATTTACAGATGAGCTTGTGCGCAACCGGATCAATTGGCCATTCAAAAGGAAAAGTGAATTCTCGTCTTTGAGGGGAAAGGGAGAATTCATAGCACTATGAATGGCAGCAGTTGCTACCTCATGGTGACAACTAACAGTGGAAAGCACTGTTAGCTAACAAGGGTCCAACCCAATATATCTTGAAGGCCAAGGAATTGGGCAAAGGTGTCACATAACGTAGGAGAGCATAAGGCTTTTCAGCTGCGCTTGTAGCTCTGCTGAAATCAGCTGAGGGTAAAATCTGTCATTGCCAATGGGCTTGTGTACATTACACCTTTACACCTTCACTGTAGTACATTCTCCAGCTGGCTTGTTGGCCCATAAATTCACCAAATTAAACTTCATCCCTGAATGCAACCTAGGGGCTTGCTGAAGATGTGAGCCTAACATTATTCAGGAGAAATGTAAATGTAATTTTCAAAACGATCTCGCCACTTTGTGCATGTTCATTAGATGCAAACACGTTACTTAAAATAAATGTTCCTAAACTGAGGTGGAAGAAAAAGACCAACAACAGGAAGCATTAGACCATCTTTACATTACCAGCCATTTAGAGTACAATATAAAATGGATTCAGATGTGCAAATCCAAGTTATATGAAATGTCAATTAAATCAACCCTTATCTCCAAAATACATTTTTTTATTGCCTGATTGATTAGGACTGCTCTTAATGTGATGAATAGTTTTCACTTTCACAAAGGACTGCTGATTCCTTTATACGTGTCCACTAAAAACACAGAAAATCCTTTAAAATGTCTGGCTCCGTTTGCTTTCAGGATCTAGATGAAGTGAGTGTAGGACACAATGTGGTCTAATATATTAATTGTGAAGATCAGATGTATAAACAATACTGTACATTTAAAAAAAGACTAAAAGTAGAACTACGGTAGATTTAAACTTGTTTTATTTTCCAAAGGCAAAACTCTATATAACTTCTTTGTTTTCTTTCCTATAGCAAGTCCACATGCAACACCATCGACTCTTCATTTTCCAACATCACCCATTATTCAACAGCCTGGGCCATACTTCTCACACCCAGCAATCCGCTATCATCCTCAGGAGACTCTGAAAGAGTTTGTCCAACTTGTCTGCCCCGACGCTGGTCAGCAGGCTGGACAGGTGGGGTTCCTAAATGTAAGGAAGCCGTTTTTATTTCTTCAGAAGTGTTTGTCCTATGTAAAATTAACCATGGGATTATGGGATTATTTTAACAGCATGTTGCATACAGGAACACACCTTGAATAGTCGTTGGAAGAAAAAAAAATAAAAAATGCTGCTACTGCAAAAATATTTAATACAACAACAGAAAACCTCCCCAAAAAACCACTCGACCACATTGTGGTGATATTAACTTAAACTGTCAGAGAAGCCGGTGATATGGTGACCTTTTGGGTCCCTCCACAAATGACTTTGCTGCATGCGTTGTAACCCTGGTGGAACTAGGGTTAACAAAATATGAAGGCAGAATAATTTTTATTAATTATTTTTGAAGTTCAGGGGAGAGTGGGGGGGGAAGGAGCAGGAAAAGGGAGGGTGAGAAACAGATGTTTCAGATCAACTAAGTTCATTAAAGAAAAAAAAAATACTGCCTTATAGCACTTTAGATCAAGTTGACCAGTACTTGAACTCAAGATGTTAAAAGTACAGTTTATTATGGTTTGTTATTTCTGTAAGCAGTTATCTTTTCCCCTTATCTCTATGAAAAATTAAGCAGAGTTCCAAAGCTTCAAATAACCATTTTCATTTTTTTTTAATCAAATAAAGTGAATCATCTTGCTATTATTGAAATAGCATTCCAGTCAAATACAGAATTTATAAATTTTATGTAAATCAAATCTAAAATAATGCTCTGAATATTTCATGAAATGTAATGCATGTAACTTTTTCCAGCCAATGAAGTAATAACTGGCAAAATTACCGTTTCTCTCCTGACATACATACGATTGAAAGCGTTAATGAGAATTAGTTTAATTATTAGCATCTAATTTATTACACTTATTTAATAAGCTATATTGTTCTCAGTGCTTTCCTTTCCCTAGCAGAAAAACTGACTCTACTTAGTCCAGCCAGTACTGGCTTTGAATAATGTCTGCAATATGTTAGCAGATACATTTATGTCTAGACAACAAATCAATATAGTGCTTTTCTTTTTCCTTGAGTATTCATTTGCTTAATTTATCCCAAACCATTCAGCATTATGAACTGTTAGCACACTCACAATGAACATGCAGCAGGGGTCTTCTTGGCAGGAAAGGGACCTAATTGTGAGACAAGATAGTGTTTGAGAGATGTCACTAATATATTAGTTTATTAAAGGTACTAGATGTTGGAAAAATAAATATCCCTGAAGGATCGCTTCTTGCTGCAAACGCTAGTAACTGCAGTCTTTGAAGTCAGTGGGAATGCTGTTAAGTTAAATGCAGATGAATTTGAGGCTTATTTATGCCCTGAACCATTTTTGCTCTAGCACAAGTGTGATTTGCCACCTACATGACTTCCAGGCCCTTTGTCAGTGCCAAAGCAGGTGAAATGAAAATAAGGTCCCAAGCATTTGCCAGTCTGAGTATTTTGTCCCCAGTAATTCAGGCTAATGGAAACCCTAACAGGAATTAAAATATTGTTTTCTTTAGCGGTACTTAGAATATGGATCTGTGTCTAAAGCTGAGCTTTTATCATCAATGGAAAAGCCAATGCTCAGTGCCAGAAGAACTGCAGTGAGATCAATTTGTAGAGTGCTGTCAAAAGTGATCTCATCATTTTTGTCACTAAAATGGAACACCTGATTCGCAGGCTGTCCTGCTTTCTCTTTATAATGGTATTTGGCATCTATCCCTATGGTGTTCAAGTGTCCAGGCTGTGTTACATTTAAAATGTAAACTTAACAATTTGAGGGAAGGGGTGGCTTTTTTTTTTTTTAAGCCTGCTTTTTCTTTTTGTGATACTTGATAACACTTTTACTTATGGGCAGGTTTTTCTGGTGATTAACTGAAAGATGACACTTGTATAGCTGGGCCCATTCTGCCAGTGACTGACCACATCCCAGACTGAGGGGAGGTTGTTGGGTTTTTTTTCCCAGCATGTAAAACGAAGCAGCTCTAAGTTCAGTCATTTCTCCATATGATCCTAATGGCAACTAAATGGTGAGCTATGCTACTGCTAACTCAAAAGGGATGTGGGAGAGCAGTTACTTCAATATATACATGTTCATTTTCCTGTAATAAGATATCAGCATGACTTTAAAGACCACCAAAAACGCTTGTTTTTTCTCTTAATGAGCAGTATCTTTAAGAAATTTACACTCAAGTCTTAGGCACTGATATCCTAAGGGGATAACAAAGGCACAAAACTGGGGGATTTCAGGGGTCAGAAATGCTGCTTCAACTCTCACTGAGCATGAGTTAGTGGCTGCAGGAAATGTAAAGAGCAGTAGAATTTAATCCAGGGCAGTTCAGACCAGCTGCTAATAGGACCAATGTTTAAAAGTGAGAATTTCCGTAGTTTCACAAGGTTCACAAGGTCTGAGACAAAGTTACTTGAAGTCTATGGAGAGTTTGACCCAGCACTTTCTTTGCCACCTCTGAAATAACTGTAAATGTATTGCACATAGCTTTCGACTAGAGTGTTATTACTAGAGGTTCCCAGCAGCTGATTTTTAGTATAATTTTTGTCTGTTTGCTTGTTTTTTGGCAGCCCAATGGTAGCAGCCAAGGCAAGGTGCACAATCCATTCCTTCCTACCCCAATGTTGCCACCACCACCTCCGCCACCAATGGCTAGGCCTGTGCCTCTGCCAGTGCCAGACACAAAACCTCCAACTACATCAACAGAAGGAGGGGCCACCTCTCCCACTTCTCCAAGTAAGTATAGACGCAGCGGGAACCAAGGGCTAACCATCACCAAGTATCAGCTATTCAGAGATGAGGACTGGACTAGCTCTCGGGAAGTAGGAGAGCCCTCCGCTCTGCATATGATGGACAAAATTCTGAGCCGAATTTATATTAACGAGAAAAAAAGCTAGCTTAAGGTTACAGTTTTATTTCTGACTTTGTTGGCATTTCACATAACCACGGATGAGAGAAATCGAGGCCAGTAGCTAAGCTGTGACTCAGATCTGGGACTTTTGGGATCTTGTTTACTGTCACGAGGAGGCAGTTTGGTATCTCAAGTCAGGCTTCAGAGGATAGATACTACGTGGAAGTCAGGCAGATAGCCTCATGAAAACATGCTGCTTATACATACTGGGCTAAACTAACAACTCGTTCGAGTTCACTTCATTTATAGTTCTTTAGGGAATAAGTCTTCCTAGATTAACCCAGACGTCCTTCCCTTATGACTTGGTTCCCGAGCCCTGCATTTTGGGCAAGAAGCTATGGTATTTCTTAGGCCCAGGGAGAAAGCTTTAATCCTCTCTCCACCACCCACACGGCTCCCATATGTATTTTGTGTAGCCACAAGTCAAATATACAAATTCCTGGATACACACTTGGGGATACCACTTTGGACTCACTCTGCTGGGAAACAAATGTGATTCAGCTGGATTTGATGCTTTAAAAAAGTCTGGATGTTCAGGGAGTTAATTGTGAAATGATTTAATGAAGCTATGCTCAAACTGACATTTAAAAACAAAAGGGAAGCTTTCAGTGCTTTAATGGCAACTGTAGGGGACTTGTTCCACAGTGAAGGGAGTCCAAATAACATCCACAAACAAAAATCAATCTAATCGAAAGAGCAAATCCCTTTGTGTGCTTTTCAAGCTTATTATTTAAATGCTATATGCAACCATTGCTTGATGTGCAAAGAGGTATTTGCTATTCAGACCATGTGAAGCCTACATTTTTAAAGCTTTATATACTGTTCAGGAGATTTGCACAGGTTCCAAGGGGCATTTTTAAAATCTGGTGGTTCTTGGAGTTTTGCATTGCCTTCTGCTACGCGATAGTGCACAACTGCAAACTCAGCAAGATGCTCTGGCTCGCTTAGAAATTAAAATGGGTTTTAGTATGAGACAGTCTGGTAAGATTGTGAACGTGGTCATCTAGAATCAGGACTTCTAGAACTGATCAGCAGATTTTTGTTGAGCTAAGAAGTTGATTCATTCCCTCCCCTCCACTCGTCTTTCTGACCTTAGACCAACACTTGTGCTATCAGAAAGTTTTAACACTCTCTGAAGGGAGATACCGTCTTTTAAGTCCTATCAATAAGATTCAGTGGTGGAATCTAAAAGGTTAATGTTTAGTCATAGTTATCACTGAATACAGTCAGCAATGCCTTACTATTTCCTTGTCTTCAGAACCGGGAAAAATGAAACTAGGTCAATGTATATTTGTCATTACGGTTGTGACTCAGTTTACTGGCAGCGTGTGGTGTCTAAAAGAAAAAAATTCCCAACGTCATTTTAGCAGTAATCTTAATTTTTGTGATACTGTGATCATGTAAACAAGCCAAATGCTTGTCTGGCCTGATTCTCAGCTGGCATAAAAACTGTCATTTGTCTGCTGAAGTTCGCAGAACACCAGCCATTGGTATCGGCTCGGGCTGGTCACTGTGGCTCAGTGTTCATCAGACAGCTGCCACGTTAATTGGGAACCGAGGTTTTCTCAAGAGCAGCCAGTTAATGGTATTTAAACAAAAGATTAGGAAAATAATTACTGTTTGTTAATTAGCTACGCTGATGTCTAAACATATAGTTCTGTACATATTCAGGCATGCATCTTCCTTTTTGGTAAGGGTTTTGAATAACAGTGACTTGAGTTGTAAAGAAGCATATAATTTAATTTAGGGACCAATTTTACAGAAAAATAGATTATAGGAAATACTTTCTAAGAAAAAAATACTACATATATACCAAAGCCAGTGGAAGTGGCTGGCCGCATAAGGAGAACAACAAACCGAAGTTCATAGCCTTGAATTGAGAATTTACCGGCAGGGCCCACTGGACTCCATTTAGTGTGTCAATCAGTACCAACCCTCCATTTTCATCGGTGTTTATTTTTTTTCTTAACTAAATATTGGCCTTCAAATAGCAAGCGCAGATTCACCAGAGTTTCATAAAAGCTGCACAAAAAGGTGTTTTCCATGGTTACGAACTGGTCGAGTGCACCGGTTCTGGGAGTGTCGCTGGGTTATGGCTGACTGCCCTGCAGAGCTTTAGGATATTGGAAAGTCACTTATGCAACAAAGGCAGGAATGATGTTAGATTTTGGCCAGACTTGCTCCTTAGCTGTGTGGAGGAGAATGAAGGCCCCCCCCACAAGAAAATGGAGTGAAAAGGGTTGGCATTTGCTCCATTCTCCTTCCCTTTTTTGGTCTAGCAGAAAGCCCTCTGCAGAAACAAAATGCAGTTACGACCCTACCAAAAATTGGAATATGGCCTTCCTGAGGGGTGCAGGAGCCAGGAGCAGCTGTTCAATACAGCGTGGCCTCCTGGGAACGAGAGCTAAAAATCACAACAAGGTGGTTAATGATTCTCAGAGCAATAGTGAAACTCTCCAGCTGTGACATTAACCAAAACATGAATGTTAGTGCTGTCCAAGGAAGGAAGAGCCCCTGGAGATGCACACCGGGGATTTGCCGCTACTGGGTGGCCAGGCATGCTCTGGGAGCTGAAAATTTCAGCTGCGAATCCTATCCCTCTGGAAAGCCAGCATTTTCCTCAGTGAGATGACACAATGGAGATGGGATTCATGACGTTTGGGAGGGGTCATTTTTCCTCCATAAAAAGCCTTTTCAATAGAACACATCCGTGGTATCAGAAGCAGTCCCAAAATTATCTTATCTCAGATCTCTGCTCGATTTTGTTTGGTTGGTAACTCATAACAAACAGAACACAATATTTTCGTGAACTTGACGGTTTCTGGGTTTAATACTCATTGCCCAAAGAAAACACCACCTCCATTAGATGCCAGTTGGGCTTTATCGCTATCATAACTGAATCTGAGTGTTAGAATCTGTGGCCCTCATTCCAATGCAGAGTCTAAGATACTGCCATCCTGTACACCATGATTTTTAAAGAGCTTTTTTAAACTAAATGTTATTTTCTAAGGTTCACAACGCTACATGGAGAGAAACGTAGCTATTTTCCCTTGTTGGGCAAGATCGTTATCGGTTAATGTCCCTTTGCACAAAGGAGTTTTCGTGTTAAACAGCATTTATGTCAGGATGAGAAGAATGATCTTGTGGCTATAGTACTGGATTCATAATCAGATTGGATTTCTCTCCCCTTCTCTGCTATGCATTGACTGAGCACCCTCTGGGCAAGCCATTTGAGCTTTCTGTTCCCTCCTTTCCCCATCCATAAAAAAGAGGGTGATGACTGTATCATTTAATTTGTTAGAATTTGCAGTTCCCTCTCAGATACTCAGCTGCAGAATGCATTGCGGTAGGAATTGCTGTATTGCACCGCGTTCCTCTGGTTAATTCTCTCGCTACAACTCCACAGCAGTTAACCGACTCCTAGTCCTTTGCGAAACAGCACAGCTCTTCGTATCAAGCACATGTACCTGTCGTTTTGGTCTGTAAAGGAGAGACCTAGTTGTACATTAGGTTATCGCTCACCTCAATCATCTTTACCAACCAAAAGTTTTATCTTTTTAATCCAGAACTGTCTGATAAACTACACACTCCTATACTTCATAGAAATTATTTCAGGAAAGTATATTTTAAATTAACATTGTCCTACTGCAGGCAACTTTAAAATAGATGACATTCCCAAAACTGTTTGTTTGTCTTGTCTTTCATACAATTTCTTGCCATTTTGGCTAAATATCAAAACTGTCTGTGTGAGCAAATGTTCTTTCTCTGCCAGCTCCTGTTTTGCTTGTTCCTGAAGTGAAGCATCATAGCAAATTTGTGGCATCACATTCATTTCCTTGGCTATGGGCTATGATGTTGCAAACAATCCTTAGTGAATTCCAGTAGCGGAAAGACTAGGCTGGGCAGGAAGATGGGCCAGCTATCAGCTAGTGTAAACTAGTGTAGATCTATGCAATTTCCATGGAGCAAAGCTAATGAAGATCAGGAGAAGATCTGCCTGAGAGACCTTTCCATGCTTTGGCTTTTCCCTTCCCTAAAATGAAGTTTGAAGACCCCACCATAGGCTTAGTCTATGTATACTATAATAGAATATGACCCAGCTTTAACCAGTGAGAACAGTTTGCCCCGTCCCAATCCCAGGACAGAGTAGAGGGATCAGAAGTGGTAGGACTTCCAGAAATCCCACCTCCGTGTCAAAAAGGGCATTTGTATGAAGACAGTAAGATGCGGCTAGAAGCTGTGTTGGTGATGGTCTAAGTAACACTCAGTACTGCTCCCTTTTCTGAACCAAATTCCACCGTAACAGGAGTCACTGCTAATGTGTATTCCATGTCAGTTTGATATTCGGAGCCAAAATGGCCCCTTGAAATTCACAAACATCTCGTGACATTTTACATTGAGGTGGGACTAGCATTTTGGGAGAGTCCAGTGTAAAGCCTGCTCTGCATGTGTGTAGTTTTGGTACTCTTCGCTTCTTGGCTCTAGCAATGTAATTATGTGCCCTTAAGGAAATACCAAACTGACATCCGAGTATTTTCAGAAAGCAAGTTAAACATAGTTTGAAGCATTAGGGAAGAAAGGTATACATAGTAATTCACCCGGCAACGTTTGAGGGGACTGTTGTGCGTATTATACAGTTTTCACATGTTTTAGAATTTTTGTTTGAACAGAGAAGCCATTTAAGACAGTGTTCTGATGGTTTCCCTTTGATTTTATACCAAATATCACAGCAAAAGTATCTGCCAACAGGGAACTGTAAACAAGATCTTGAGTTCCTTTCCTTCTGAGTGGAACTTACCTGCTCCAAGGCATTAAATGGCCTCTCCACTCATTCTGCTTCCTTAAAAGTAGACCAGAAGAACCAAACAACATATGTTTGAATTTTGAGCTTTAACTTAATTTTCCCCACTGCAGAAGGATTTTTGTATTCTTGCACAACATAGGGTTCAGTAGTTAGTTAGAAAAAACACAACCTCACTATAAAACAGTACAGAAGAATCTTAATCCATGGCACTAGCAACATAGATAGACCCTTTGCAAATTTTTGTCTTCTTTGAATTACTAAGCAAATTAACATGGTAAAAAGGCATGGAGAAATCTCACCAAATCCACTCAGTTCATTTCTTCTTTGATTTCCAGATACGAATAACAACCAGTGTACCTGTTCCTACTCTAATACGCAAGCTGCACTGCAATTTGCAAAATAATCTCAGAAAGATGAATTCGTGCACTGAAAAATGCCTTTAAAATTTTGTGAAGGAAAGGCGTTCCTTGCATGATTTTTGCAAGTGCTAGCAAAGCATTAGCTTTTTGGAGAGAAAAGCTCACCTCACCAGAAACAACTGGGAAGAATTCATTCTTAGAAGTCAGGACTGCCCTATCTTCGCTCAGATCAGTAAGAAATTAAGATCTGCAGTTCCTGGGGTGATTTCAGGGGAATGCTCTTTGAGCAAGTGAAGCAGTCTGATGTCATTGTAAGAATCAGGAGGCATCACGAGACGTTTGTGAGACTTGGGTAGAGAGAAGAGGGAAGGATGCAGTTCTGCATGCTCATAGACCTAGGAACTCCTCGCCAAAGGGTTTTGTGGTAGCAAAACGTTTACATGGGTTCAAGGGCAGATTGGGCATTCATCAGTGAGAAATCCCTTGCGGGCCATTAAATACAGGGAGTCCCTGAGCTGAAAATAATCAGAGGGTGGAAAAGAATATGGGAAAGTAAATGTGTGACCTGTTTGTTTTGACTCTTCCCTGTGCATCTGCATATGGCCCTGTAAGAGAAAGGACGAGATGGAGCATTGGTTTGATTCAGTACAGTCTTAAACCAAAGGCTCCTCCAATGTGATCAATGCCTTTTCACCAAACACTTTGCCTTCAGAAAGGCAACAGGCTTTCATCTCCACAGACAACTCAGTGTCTTCTCCGACTCTTAACTTGCTTTAGTTTTTTGTAACATTGAGGCCTGAACATTATATTTAGCCTGAGTGGAATTTGGCAAGTAACTTTCCGTTTAACATTGTTTTTTGTCTCTTCATTGGATAGTTAGATTGTCTGGGGATTTTATTCAGCAGAATGCATTCCCATAAATATATTTAAAATAGACAGAATCACTGTTTGTATTAAGGCGCCTATTTGGGTTATTAGAATTTAGATCTGAACATGCAAAAAAACTGGAGAAGGGAGAAGACTGCATGGGGAATTTTCAAAGGAGAGGAGGACTGAAAATGCATTGAAAGCTTTTGGATGTGGAAGTACGTGGCATTGTGGACAGTTGCAGTAGAGAATATAATGCAACAATAAAATCATTAAAGTACTTCAAGTTTGGAAGTAATCTGGGTTCTTGGCTTGCATTGCATTTAATAGCTTTACATTTATGGGAGCCATTCCAGTTTTTAAAGGCAGCTTCAGCCTTCAGACTGATTGCACTTACCACCCCAGTGAAACTGCAACCCATTAATTTTTTACCGAAAGGATCTTCCTAGTTTGTCAAACACATCAAGTGAACATTTTAGAGAGTGCAGACCACAGCAGTATGAAAACCAAAACTTCATACTGAGAGAGAAGGTTGGATTAGCATGAAATAAGGGTCCGATTCTGTTAATAAGCGCTTCAGTGAATTCACTGCTATACAAAACCCCATTAAAACCGGAGATACCGCATATCCAAGTGAAAAGAGTCGGGCCGTCCCAGCACCTACAGCAGTCTCTCGTGCTGTCCCCCACGCGGGACGGGGGCCCACGCAGGTGACCCCAGCCCACTTGTCCCCAGCGCACGTCAGTGCCGCCCTGCCTGGCAAGGAGCCCTTCCCTGGCCACCCTCTCCCCTACGTGTTTATACCCCGTCATTAAGACCAAACCTTTCCAATGTCTAAACCCAAACTCTCGCTCTCTAAAACGTTTGCACATTTCTATGTTAAACATCTGCTTAGGTGGCTCTGAGACAAGTGTGTTTTTGGTGTTGTTCGTGTGCAATCTAGTGCCGCTTCCTCAACGCATGTGTCCCTTCCCTTCACAGCCTACTCGACACCCAGCACCTCCCCCGCAAACCGGTTCGTCAGTGTTGGACCACGGGATCCAAGCTTTGTAAATATTCCTCAACAGACTCAGGTGGGACGCTTTCGACTTCTCTGTATGCCTGCAGCCTCTTCTTCTTCTTCAGTGTACTCTAACGTGTCCCCGCGGAGCCAGCTGCATTGCCGCTCTCACTTCACCCACATGGTCTCAGTAACTACAGTGAAATGTCACTTGCAGTTTGTTTGTCTGTTGTGTTTTTTGTTTTGGTTTTGGTTTTGTTTTTTTTTTTTTTGGGCTTATGTAGTAATAACGCCGCTTTCGTAACTGGAAAGATCTCTCTTGCTTTCTGAGATACTGGCTTCTACTGCACGAGGTTTTTCCACTAGGATTTTTTGCTCCAACCTGTTCCCTAGGCAGTGCATTGAATTGCGTATGCAAAAGGAGCTCAGAGAGACCCACCAGGTAACAGGGCACCTTAGTTCCTCCACCAGATACAACTGGAGACTGCTCCAATGACTTCCATGTTAAAAAAAAAAAAAATAGCCTTGAATTCCTGGTTGGCCGTTTGCATGGTGGGCTTTGAGCAAGCAGGAGGTTTTGTAATTGCGAGCACATCTGTTTCCTTACACAAAGAGAAAGAAGTCCAGTTGAGGCAGGCCTATAAAGCTGGGTTAACTGAATTCATAGTCCTGCTATGGTCAAATCAGAAGCTCGAGTAAACATTTGTGTTTCTTTAGGAGAAGGACGAGGTTTAAATGTGCTTTTTCCAAGCTGTATCAAATTCCCAGGGTCGATTAAGAAAATAGTTGTTGGCAGTTTTGTTAGCAGCTAATTTGAGCCAGATGTTGAAAAAATTAAGTCTGTGCTTAATATCACGTTATCATGGGGGGAGAAGGTATAAAAAAGTGAGCAGAACTAGTGCTTTAGGACAACTGTAGTTTGTAGTTTTAAGTGATTGCTTGACTGCGTTACGATTCTTTCAAAGGTCAACAGCAAGAAATATTTGTCATTTTGTTTTGAGCTGGTTGTGATGATTAAAAAGTAATAATTCAAAGAGCTAGCAAATTGGGGAGTACTACTCTTAGCTCTTGTGAGTTCTTTCAAATTGTTCATATGCATCTGAATAGTTAGTGTACAGACTAATGGCTGTCCCGTGCCACAGTCCAGTATATGCACGAAGACAGACTCCTCGTTGCGATAGCTTCAGTACCTATGCTGTCAATGAAACACAAGTCACTTGTTACCAAAGATTTTCAGTTTACAGGGCTACAGCCAGGTGCCTGTGAACACAATGTGTTTTCTTGCTATCTGTTCTTTGTGTACAATTTGTTAGGGGCTTTAGTTTATAGCTCTGTCGACAGCACAGGTTAAACTACATCGAATCTCAAACCTTCTCTGCATTAAATAGGGTCACAGAAAGTACACCAGCAGTGCAGAGCAGGGTGTTAACCCCTCGGGTTCTGATTTTTTTTTCATGCCTTCCCAAAACGCAGCCTGCACCCCACTTTTCAGGCCTCTTCCTTTATTCAATTCGTGTACGTGACAAGTTTTCATGCGCCTTCACATTTAAATCTTATTTCTCCAGTCATTTTTAGAAACAACTGGAATAGAGAGAAATACATTCAAATTGGGAAACAGGAATGCTGAGGTACACTGTTAAAGTCCTTAAGCATTTGGTCTTTTCCTTCAGAGCTCAGGAAACTTGAAACCCTTTGGAGAATGCTACTTACCTTTTCCAGAAGACTTGAAAAACTACTAGTTGGTAAATTGATTATGTAGTAAGACACAACAGTATTAAGTCTCCAAAATATTTTAACCTTATTTGCATCCTGCAGCCTAGGTTTCCCAGAGAAGTTTGTTGACTGTAAACTTTTATCCTCCTTATTTATGACTTAAATCATTTTGAAGTGCACCAGCCTTACTTTAAGTGCTTCTATGTAATGCAGTATAGTGAATAACAATGCTGTACAGTGAAAAACAATACTCAAGCACAGCTTTCAATTAAAGTCAAACATGCTGCAGTGGGTAGGGAGACTGACTTCCAGGCTCTGACTCCGGCTGCATCTCCGTGCTTCTATACATCATTACACCACCACAACCCACTTGATACTAAATATATAATTTATCAGCAAAACTCACTACTTATTCATGAAACAACTCTGAAGTTGACTGTGTTTTAAATCAGGGAAGTGAAGTAAAAATACTAGCTGCAATGATTTGGGATTTACTTAGCGTTTTTCTAAACAAAGACATGCTTTTGTACTCTTTTTGCAAGGCATTAGCATATAGGACAATCATGATATTTTCAAAATGAAAATATAAAAACACGCAGGACTATGTTATTAAAAGCAGCTGGGGTGGCTGTTTTCCATCAGGATTTTTATAGTAAGTTCAGAGTCAGCCTAAGATATGGGTCCTGAGGACCACTAACTGTCAGGCCACACAGCTCCCTTGGACAAGAGGAAGTGGCAAATGCTCAGAGCTTCTGAAAGTCAAGCTTAAATATAAGGGTTAAGCAACTCTTTACTGCTGGATCAGCAAAATAAAAATGAAGACCATATCTGAACGTCTGCTTTTTGAAAATTACGGTCCAGCTACAAGCTATAAGAAAACATTATGGTCAGCTTTTTGGTGGCTCTGATTTTCCCTTCCAATTGGTGGGTCATTTGAGTTATGCATCATTGTTATTAGTCTTAAAATGCTGCAAAAGTGAGTCTGTGCACAGGGATGCAACAGCACCGTTCAGCAGAAGTGGCATTTCCCATACATGGGCATTCACAGGCTTTCACAGAACATTGGAATAAAATCGCAGACAAATGTACAACATTGGCATGGCTGGGTTTGAGCAAGGATCATTCTGTCCTGGGCTGTTTTTAAACAACCAAAACCAGTACATGCCTTTCTTAATGGGCATTATAAAAATTAGCAGTAAACATTTCCATTAGCAGTATGTTCTAATTTATGTCATATTGCTTCAAATATAATTCCCTTAAAGGAATTTTATATAATTTATATAATATTTTATTTAGAAAAAGGCCATCTTCCTGTGTCAACAAAGGTTGTAGCAGGAGGACAACTCCACGACAGAAGAGACCAGGAAATAAACTGACGTAAGTCAGTAGTTCTGATTCAGTAACAAAGGCCCCAAAAGGGCTGTTGGCTTTGTCTGGTTTTAGCAGCCTCAAAACTTTTCAGTTGGTTTGTTTTTTCAGACACTGCCTCTGCTTACGCCATCCATCACTCTGCCACTCCAGTGGCTCACTGCATAATTGTCCTATCTGGGGGGTTATTTGAATCTAAATTTCTGTTTGAGCTATTAGAAGAAACACTTGACTTGGCATCCTCTGTATATGTTGACAAAAAGGCACAGGTGTTGTAACCTTTGCTTGATAAATCATTTACTTTTGCTACTTGACTCACAAGCAATATGGGGGCATCGGCTTTTTAACTGCCTTTTCCATATGCAAATCAGAAATACAGTATGCCTGGGGTTCACAGTCTTTAATTTCAAAAGCAAGCTGGTCTAGATGCCTCATGACTAAGTAATAGATATGTCTCTTGTATTGCCAAGGACTTGTAATAAGGAGAGTGGCACAGGAATGGGAAAGTACCATCACATTAATTAGGCACTAGCCTATCAGTAGCAGCAACACTAATAAAGAATAAAAGGTTCTGAGTTTTGGGTAGGGTTTTTTTATCCTAACCAAGCGATAAAAGTAATTGTGAAACACAGGATGTGTGCTCAGAGTATGTGCAGCTGGTAACGCTAAACTAGCAACCTGCTCTTTGTGACCAGAGTCTGCGTTGTCACTCGCTGCTCTAAACAGCGTTCGCTGATCTCTAATGCCCTCGCTTTGCTCTGTAGTGCAGAATTCCTTTGGGGATCATAAGTATTCCATGTGCTGCAGCTCCACTTCACACTAAACATTGTTTACTAGGCTGAGTCCTGTCTGCCACCTACTTACCCTACTTGTACTTTGGATGCTAAAAACAGCTCCTGAGCAACACATGCCGGCTCCATCTAATCACTCCTACCTGCCAGCAGCCCGTGTGCCTTGCACAGGAAGGTTACGAGGATACACAGAACAGAAACTGCCTCCCACCACAGGCACCTAGGCAGAAAGAACATCAACTGCTTTACCACCTGTGAGAAACTAAATGGTGGTCTTCTCTGCTTAAGAGAAAGTGTATCATACTCCCTCTTGACCAGCTCTCTAATGTAAATATGCTTTATATCAGATCCATCCCAGTTAGTTTCTAAAACTTAGTTAAGCGCAAAACCAAACGGTTATTCCCTTACCTTTCTCTAAGAAAAGATAAAACTATTTTCTAGAAGAACAGAAGTAGAAGCTCTTCCTGCTTCTGCCTTTGCACAATCCCAAAGTTACAGTCAGTAAGCCAAGGGTAGTGAGCCAAGGTCTCGTCCTTTCACACTTTCCCTGGTGGGGCCCTAGAGCCACCCAGCTACAACGGTGCCGAAGATAGAGCTCGTCCTTTATAATGCAAAACAACCGAAACAAAAAGCCCATAACTTACCTAGCACTCCACAATAAAGTATAAGAAGAAGCTCCAGAATCAAACAAACAGGTTTATCTAGGCAGCAAAATGACCGATATGAACACCAGCAAGCTCCGAAGCACAGCCATGTGCTGGGTACCAGCCTTGTAAAGACCAGGTACAACAATGCACGCTGTGAAACACATCTATAAAAGAGTAACGCTGCCCTAGAGTAGGTTGGGGGGGCAAATTACTGAAATTTAGCAAAATGTTTATAGTATAAGGAAATTGCTAACTTCTTTAGATCTACTTCTGTTCACTGCCTTTCGTGAGTTAGACAGTGGTATCTTTGTAGCTTCTTCTTTTAGGCTTTTATTTATCTCTGAAAAACCACCTTATGCCTCAGGTGCATATACAAACCTAATTGTACAATTACTTTCTTTTCAGGAGACAAGGGAAAGACTATTTTACTTCCCCACAATCCTTTTAGAAAGCAAACTTGCAACCTGCAATTTTTCACTGGCAGCACTTTAGAACAAAGGGCATGAGAAAAAAAATGAGCTTTATGCTGTGTCCCGTAGGTTAGCAGATGTGAG